CTCTCTGAAGTTTATTCCCTTTTAATTAGTTTTCTTTTACTACCCGTGAGTTTAGTATCATCATAACATAAGCAAAGTGCTTCTCAAAGCTTAAAGCACTATACAAATGCTAGCTATCATTTTTTTATATTATTTGGATATTTCACTGTGTACATCTCTTTCAGACCCTTTATGCAAAAATTAAGACCTTTCTCAGTGAGAATCTCCATTCAGAAAAATGCCCACTTGTCCCTACCTGCACTCACTGTCTGGGGTTCATCCACAGAGAGATTAGCCCTGAGCTATTCAAGGTTAAGTGTGTTCTATTTCTTTTTCCTACAGCTCCTTATCCTAGGAAGCAGTCATTTTTCTTACATAGAAATCTCACCTCCATATCTGTTCTACCATTGAGGTAGATAACTGAGGTCCTTGTTTCTTGGTCCACATATAGCTAGCTTCCTGCTCTTGTTAAATATTTTTAGTTCACCCTGTGGCCCTGGGAGAGAACAAAGAAAACGAGGTTTAAACCCCTGACTTGGACCACTTTAACATTACAACAAACTCAAATATCTGAGATGAAAATTCACTCATGTTTTTGAAATGTTGGCAGATGAAATCTGATCCATGCTCTAGAAAATGTCAGCATTCTGGATCCAAGGGAAGGAAAACATTACACATTCACTGATGTCCCCTTCTCATTGTGTGAATTTATATTTTCTCCCTATGTTTTTTGTTTGTTTGTTTTTAAAGAGGCCTCAGAGAATAAAAAACTCCTTCATTCCTCTCCAGGCTCCACTTCTGACTCTCTAGACTTCTTCACAACTCTCCAACACTGATGAAGCACCTACTAAGTGCAAATCCCCACAGTAGGCACTGGGGATAAAAAGACCAAAACAGATTTGTCTCTGTTGTCAAGGATGACATTCTTACTGGTAGAAAACAACATTTAAAGTAGATGAATAAATGAATATATTTGATGAGGTAAAATGCAAGAACAACTAAAGGGATCTGATTTACTCCATTATGTTTAAGTGATGTACACAGGCTTTGGAAAGCTTTTATACTTTATAGCAGGGATTCTTAACTCTTCTGTGTCATGTACCCCTTTGTCAGTCCTATGGATTCCTTCTTTGAATATTTTTAAATGCATAAAATACACATGATTATAAAAGAAATAAATTATACTCAAAGTTATTAAAATAAAACTGACTCCAGCTAATGAACTACTACTCTATACCTATAGACATATAACTTATAATTGAAGAACAAGTGTTTAGAAACAGTTTTACAAAAAGTTGTCACTAAGCTCTTTTAGGACAGGAATATAATTCCCATTATAACCATTGTTCTGTGGGAAAATCAGTTGTAACATATCAATTTTCCAAAAATATAATTTGAAACAACTTCTCCAGAAATACATCTTAAACATGGTTACTGCCGATGTAGAATTCAACTCTGAAGGGCAGTGAATCTCTCAAACAAAAGTACACGCAGCGCTTCCTCCACTGCCCCCTTAATGGAGGCACCATAGTACAATTAGAGGATCTAGGTTTGAATTCCCTAAACTCTGTTACTTACAATTTGTGTGCTCTTGGACTAATTGACTTCTACGGTCCCTTGAGGCTCTAAATCTATGCTCTTATGACAGACAGACAGACAGACAGATAGACAGATAGCTACCTAGCTAGATAAAGCATTTACCTAGTGCTTACTACGAGCCAGGCACTGTGCTAAGGGCTGAGAATACAAACAAAAAACCAAAATAAAATTAGACCCTTCTTTCAGGAAACTTATATCCTAATAACAGACCTAAATGCAGTAGAGGAAGCGGGATAGGAGGAAGGAATGAGTTTGGCTGGCTCGGGTTACTTCCTCAAATGAAGATTTCAAGGAGTATCACCAATCAGAAGAGGGGGCTACAGAGGTAGAGGGATCCTCCAGGGTGAGAAGGATGCTGGGCCATGATAGAGAAACCCAGAGAGTCAGGAAAGGGGCTGGAAAGAAGAGTGAAGGGGGAACTGAAGCTTGATATTGGCCAAGTGAAGATGAAGGCTTCTTTTAATCTTATGTGTATATATGTAAAGTATGGGTAAAGTAGGCAGGAACTCCCCTTATGGACCTCCTCCCTCATTTTCAGGCTCTGGGGCTAAACTTCTGGGTCTGTTCCCTATTGTTTAGACAAATAAGTGATTTGGGAACCATAAAAAGTAATGTAAATGAGGTATTTTTATTCTTAGTACCACTGTTGGAAACAAGTTAGTTCTAAAGGTAGTAATCCAAGAGTTTAGCTAGTGAGTCTCATCTCATTTCTGAGTCACTGAAAAAAATACCCCCATACCCCCATTTGCTTTATATATCTCAACTGCAATGGCTCAAACAGTGCCATCTAAGAGGCAAGGCATGGAGGATGCCCAAAGTGTTAAGATAGATGATTGGGAGAGGAATAACATGGGAATAATCAGGAGGCCACATGGAAGTAAAAATGATGGTAACATAGAATTTAGCAAAAAAAGGTGAAAGAATATAGAATATAGAGATGCCAGGCATAGAACACGTGTAGGAAACTGGAGCCATTCCACAGTTACCACATAACATCATCATAGCCAGCATTCATATAGCATTTTAAGGTTTGCAAAGTGCTTTACAAATATCATCTCTTTTGATTCTCACAACATCCTTGGGAGGTATGTGCTATAATTATTCTCATATTACAGATGAGGAAAATGAGGCAGGCAGTGGCTTGCTCAGGGTCACATAGCTAGTAAGTGTCTGAAGGTGGATTTGAACTCACGTCTTCCTAACTCCAAGCCCAGTGAACCACCATCCACTGAACACCTACCTGCCTACGATAACATTATTTTTGCTGAGAAAAATTTAAGTGCTCAGCTAACTCCAGGGGTAGTATCTTTATTATCCTCAATGCTCAGCACAGTGCCTGGCAGCCACATTATGGTACTTAAAAGCTTGTTGAATGAAGGATTGATTGAATGTATCCCAATTTAAATGCTTCTACCAAAGCCTTGTGACAAGGAAAAGACTGGAAAACTAAAAACAAAATCATAGTGCTCCAAGGAGCCATATGAGTACTTTCAGACATAAATACTAACACAATATTGGATTAAAACCTGGCAGGGTGATATTAGAAAGGAGCCAATAGATATCAAAGCAGATAGCAAAAAATACAAGGACAGTCCAAACAAAGGGGAAATAGTGCTCTCTTTCATTATACTTCGCCTAACTGGTGAAAATGAATAAAAACTTTGATAATAAATCATGGTTCTCTCTAGATCTGACACTAAAGGCAAAAAGTAATGATAAACAGAAATTCCTAGAAATAAACTCAATCCTAGAGAAATCATAGGACCCTCTAGCTCACTGTGATATCACGTGACCCACAACCCTCAAAAGAGCTGCCTTGGCCACTGCATAATCAAACTGGATGGGTATGTGTCACAGGCCCTGCCTCTCAGGGTAGGCAAAGACCTGTTCCCCTCTGCTCAAGGAGCACTAGAGTAGGAGGTAGGTATTGTCTCTCTCCTCATCTAAAAGATAAATGCTACAGACAGGCAAATTGTTAAAGGGAGAGGGAAAGAGGGACAGACAGAGGGGGAGAAGGGGAGGGGGGGAGAAGGGTAGAGAGAGAGAGTGAAAGAGAGAGAGAGAGAAAGAGAGAAAGAGAGAGACAGAGAGAGACAGAGGAGAAAGGGGGGAAAGGGGAAGGGTTTTAGGAAGAGAGGTTACCAGCCAAGTGCAGCCCAAACCCTTGTGAAATCTTCAGACATTAAATAGCTTATTAATAATTAGGGTAGATCCTTGATTGGCTAGACAGTGTTTGTGGTAAGAGGTGAAAAATAGGCAGGCCATTATTTTTACTTGAGAAACCTGAGTGTTTTGTTCAAAAGGTACTTTGTGAGCAAGGAAAAAAAAGTAATTCCTTTCCATATGATAGCCTTTCAAATATTTTTATGACTACTATTACACACGCTCCAAATTTACTCTTCTCTAGGTTAAACATTCTTAGTATCTTCAACTGATTCTCCTACGGCATAGTTTAGATCAGCGGTATCAAACTCAAATAGAAATGGGGGCTACTAATTTGTATATAAAGATCTCTGTGGGCTACATTTTGACTGAGTTTTAAAATGTAATGTTATTTCTGTTTTATTGTATTTGTTAAATATGTTCTTAACTGCATTTTAATCTTGTTTAGGCAGCACATGAGTTTTGCAGGTTGCATGTGGCTTGTAGCTCACATGTTTGATACCCCTGGCTTAGATTCTTGACCACCCTCCCATGTATGCACATAAACTTGTCACTCTCCTTCCAGAAATGCAGCTCTTAAGAACAGGATGCAGGACTGGAGATATGAGTCGTGACTAGTGCAGAATCTAGCAGGGTTATCCATTAGACAGTAAGCTTGCTGAAAGTAGGGACTGTCTTTCGCCTTTCTTTGTATCCTTTGCTTGGCAAAGTGCTTGGGATAAAGTCAACCCTTGATAAATGATTGCTGACTGACTAATTTCCCTTGATCAGCACACTACACTTCTATCAACGAAGCCTAAGAATGCATTAGCTTTTTTGGCTGTCAAGTAACATTACTGACTCACATTGATCTTGAAGTCCACTAAAACTTCCAGGTCCTTTTTACATCAATCTGATGAGATAAGCAGGTTAAGTTCTCTGTTCTCTTAAAATGTTATTTAGGGGGAAGGGATTCAGAGCAGGTTACCTCCAAGGAGCACACTGATGTCCTGAGATTGAAAGATGCCAAAGGAAGGTGTCACCTGGGCTCTGTCCCCTCTCTGACTTAAATGCTAAAACAAATTGATGGGGGATAGGATCTTTTTTGTGTTGGAGGTTCAGGAAAGTAAGTATGGAGAGAAAGAGCTATAAAGTGCTTATTACAAACTAAATTTCTCGCTACAGATGGGTTGAATTAATCCTTTAAAGTAGAGAGCTTTCCATAGGAAGAAAGATGCAAAGGATACTAGAAGATGTAGAGAGACAGATGAGCAGGGATGTCTGTGACTGGCAAAATAAACCTCCTACCATTTGTTTTCTTTATTTAAAGAGATGCAGAAGAAAAAAGGGAGGAAAGAAGGCAGGGTCCAAAGTAATAAATTAAAGAACTTGGAAGAAAGGTAGGGGATGTCTTGACAAAAAAATCCCCCAAAAACAAATTATGAAGTATTGACTGTCTTTCCATTCTTTTTACAGTTCTGGGCAGGGCTGTGTTGGACTGGGCTTCATTCACTTCAGCAATCTGGGAGTGTGCCAGACTGAAGCAGTCTCACCCATTGGATACATGCTGAACATGATGACATCTCAATTGTGCCTTCACCCAGAGGTCAAGTTTCCAGTTTCCTGATGAGAAAGGCTTATGGAGTAACCTTCATTTTCTTTCTATTGGTTGAAATAATTTCCCACAAACTTGCCAATTCTTAAGATCTTCAAGTCAGAGTAAATGAGGAAAGCATTTCTCTCATAGCCATTTTTCCCCTCCACCTTGAACTAAACACTGACAAACAGATTAGCATATGGATCCTAGTCCTTGTGAAGGTCATAACTCAGCTACCACATAGTCAGGTAGAAAATTTGTAACTTGTCAGTCTTTGAACTTCACCTGAAAGGCAGTTCTCAACTCACCTGGGCTCCTGAATCACTAATATCCCAATTAATACCCTGTCAAATGACAAAATGTTTCCTGATCCCAGTTCCAATCCATGTGATTGTCTACATTCTTTATATCAATAAGCTTGTCTTCCATGAGCTGATTGTGTGTCCATCATTGTTGGCAAAGGACATCATCAACACTGCTGCAGGGATCCTAATGAAACAGGTCTAGTTTCAGCTGGATTTTTTGTCACTTTGCCTAGGAAGATCTGGACAGCTGGAAGTGATCGCAATCATTTTCTGTTTCTTTCTTTGTATCAATTTTCCACCTGTGAAGCCCAACAACCCACCACCAACTGCAGCTGCAATTCCTGCCTTGAAGCCTGCAAAGAGGCCAAGCGGACCCCCTACTACTCCTCCAATGATTGCACCTGTCACAGGCAGAGCTGCCAGCTTGTATTTTGCAGCCTGTAAAAAAAAAAAAAGAGAGAAAAAATTCAATTTGGAAATGGAATTGTGAATATTTGCTTGTGGGCATGTATATTTTCCCTTCATTACTCCTGGCAATTCCTCTTTAACTCTTATATAGTTAACTCTCACAATTGTACTTATGAAAAAAAAAAGGTGGAATATTCCACAGGTACGAAGACTGGGTGCTGCAACTGCTCATGACTTCAGGACTCAGATGGGTAAAGACAGAATGGATCATTTAAGTTGCCTCCAGCTGACTTACAACACAATTAATTCACTAATTATCTGATGGGTTTATTTAAATGAATGGCAATAGCCACTGAATGCCCCTAGAGCTTTTCTGTCACCGTGGGTCATGCACCTGAGATTCAAAGCCTCTTGGGGGGTGAGGGCAAATGGCACACGTGGTCCCAGAGCTGTACAGTGTCTGGCAGGTTGATTCATTTTGCCTTTCCTCGGTTCTTGCAAACTAGCTAGGGCCCTTCTCCTTTTTGATAATTCCTCTGAGGTATATAACAGAAGTGCCCATCACCAGAAGGCTTCAGTTGATTCTCTTTTTGCAAAAAAAAAAGGGAAAAAAAAAAGAAAAAGAAAACAGTCCCTCTCGACAGAATGACTCTTGGGGTAGAATATTACAACAATCATTGATTTCTTTTACTACCTATGTGCCATTTCTTCCTTATTTCCTTAATTGCTGGTTCCCTCAACATTAAAGAGGGCAGATCAATGGGGTTAATACTGAAGATTCCTGGGAGGCAGAGGACCATTGATTTGTCAGCAGGAGCAGAGCCTTACCTTCCTCAAATTTTTGGTTCCCTCTTCAACATTCACAGCAGCACTGTTGACATGGTCTTCAATGCTGTCAATCTTCTCCTGCTGAGACTAGATGCAAAGGAATTATGAGGGAGATTTCCTGCTGGGAAGCAGCAGTAAGCCAATACACACTATTTTAATTCCTGTAATCAGGGCCCTCATGTACTGTAGCCATGCAGTCTTAATGGTGGTTCATTAAGAGCATCTGATAAAGCATACTGAAAAGTACAAATTTACTTTTTTTTTTTAAAAAGGGAAATTTAACTACTAAGTAATAAAAGGGTAGTACCTTTGTAGCCAAATACATCTCATATTAAATTGGGTTCTTTATTAATTAATGTGCTGTTATCTGAATGAATGAACCAAATCCCAAGAGGAAAAATGCCAAACAAGTACCTAGGTGGCATGCTGTGCTTGCTTCAAAAAACAATTCCCATTCTGAAATTGTGAAGATTGGGTTTAAAACAGGGACAGGTTACATTACAATTAAAATGCCACTGAGTCAAGAAATACAAATTAGTACTTCTGATCTCTCTGAATGAGATATGCTTATTTTAACTACCACAAAAGGCATTTCCCCTTCTAACCTGCAATGGAGTGCAGTGTATGAACTTAGTGGTCTTAGGTTTTAATACTTTAATGCATCATAAAATGACAAATTAAAATATTTCAAATTTAGAGAAATGAGAGAAAATAGCTAACTAATGAGTCAATGTCAATTTAATTAAATGTAACAGTCAAAAGAAAGTAGTAACTATATAACACAATAGGAATTGACTTTAAAATTGACAGAGAAAAGAGTATATCTTTGGAGCCAACTGAGTTACTTAGTAATAATTCAATCTTAGGCCAATTTTAGTACTGTTTTAATACCTTATATGAATACCATCTTACACTGATGCTGTAAACAGAGAACACAATTATAATCCCAGCTGCCATTCCATCATGTAACCTAAGAGATTGAAACATCACAGTCGATTCTTTTCCATAGCTGGCATGTTTTCTGTTGTTGACATTTTCTCCCCTTCATACAACAACATATTTAAGTACTCAATGCTTTCCTTGTATTTGTTCCATCTTGCAATCTACATTTCTACCTAGATCCCTCTACTACCATAGCTATCAGGGCATTATCAGTATTCCATAAGGGAGAAGCTCACATGCAACCTCTTCCAGAAACCACCATTCTTCTTCACAGCCCATAAAACTTTATTTCCTGACCCTGCCCTTCATTTGGAGTACTTCTCCCCCATTTGGTGTATGACATACCTTGGTTATGCCCCATGCACTATCTTTTATAACATTCCTTCTCTTTTGATAGTCATCTCTTTCCCAGATGTCAAACCTCCAACTGAAGTCGTCCCTTTCAGAGCCTTTAGAGAATGAGGACCTGGTCTAGTGATTCTACCCACTGAACTCCATTCCTAAAAATGTCTAAAATGTAAAGGTCCTTAACTATTCACTCACAAACTTCTGGTCAATCATGAAGCCCAAACTACTGGACTTCAAGAAATCAGAAAATGGAATTTCTAAAAAAGAAGGTACTTCTATGCCTCCTTCTCCACTTGGGATTTTTACATGATTGCTACTAATTATTGTTGATCTCCAGGGTTCAGGGAAATATAAAGGAACTTCTTCCCAAACATATTAGATACTGGATTGGAGATAGCACAGTGCCTTAGCCCAGAGCATATTCTTAGCAAATATTTGTTGAATGAATTATAGTTATCTTAAAATAAGTGGATTAAATTAATTTTAAGTATTTTACAAAACCCTTTGGAAATAACTGGAGATATCCCAGAAAACCTAAAAGCAAAACTAGAGTTGTAAATTACTAGATGTTAGAGCAGTTAGAACTCTGCCACAATTATGAGTAAGTACAAAAATCCTACCTTACTCTGGGGAACCATACCCTAGGCTTTAATGACCCGGACCATGGCATCAATTTAAAAACCAAGATGGGTAGTCACCCCCCAGCTGCACTGTTTTATGAAACCAACTAACCTTTTTGTATCTTAAAGTGCTATTTTTAGTTTGCCATGTTGAATTCTATTCCCCACTTGCTTTTTCTTGTCTGACTTCAATCCCTCATTAAGCATACACATGTGACGGACTACCAAACTGCCAAGTGGAGATGCAGTCTGCTCTTTCTGGGGTTGAGGGATTATAGGATCCTTAGCAGTTAGGCCCAAACTCTAGCAAGAGGCTGAAATTATGAGCCCTTTTTATGGTTTTTCCCCATGCATACTTTCTTTATATGAATGTTTTATTAGTATTTTTAATTAAAGCTAAATTTCCAAAGCAAAAAAAAAAAAAAAAAAAAACCCAACCTGGTAGATTGACATACTTAACTCTGAGCTAATATTTTCCCCCAAAGTAATAAATGTATATTTTAATCTCATGTATTCAATAAACAAATGCTAATTTTTAAGGAAAATGTGCATAATTTTTTGGATATAATCTGCCACTATTGCCAGTGTCAGAAGATTCTGAATTTCTCAAAACTACTTGGAGCAGGTATGAGTGACAGGTTTGCTAAATGAAGGGTAGTCTAATTCTGGAGAAGAATATAAAAATGACTTGACAACACAGAACTGATGTACCTTTCAGAAGTTAAAAGGTAATTCTACTTAAGTTATACTGAAGGAATCTAGACCATCAAATCAGCTAATTTCTGATTTCTCAGGTTGATGAGTCTTCACCTTCAGGAAATGCCTCATCCTGACCCTAGTGAGGGATGTGATTAGATTTAAGCCTAAGAAATCCCAACCTTTGTTCTCATCTCTGCCAGGAAAGAAAATATTTTCAAGTATTCCATGAGAGAGTTGAAGGCTTCTGTGAACTTTATCAACAACTCCTTAAAGATTATGAATCCAGAGATTATATGCCACACTATCCCAGGTCAGCCATCAGACACTACTAGAATTGGAGGTTTATTCATGTCACAAAATGCCTTTGATTTGATGAGGCCGAGTGGGTCTTTTATTTCAAAAGAAAAAATTACTACTTATTGTTCTTAATAAAATCTTTATTATAAATATATACCTCACCCTTCTACAATTGAGAGAATAAAAAGGAGAAGAAAAAAAAAGCAGTTCAGCAAAAACCAACACATCAACTAAATCTGTAAGTATGTGCAATGTTTCAGCACATCATCCTCCACTTCTATGTAGATGAGAAGAATGGTACATTTTCTTATCTCTTGCTATGGGAAAAACTTGTACTTTTATTTTTAGTTATAAATTGTTCCAGCTTACAAATGGACACATTTTCCTGCAGAGGAAGAAAGAACCCCTGGAGGGCAATTGTGCTCACATTATTCCTGACTCTAGTCAACTTTCTGATGATGAGGATCATGACACCATAATGGTTCACACTGCACAATCCTTGCTGATACCTTTTTTTGCTTTGTTATGTTTTGTTTTTTAAAAGTAGCAGTGGTCTGACTAACATGTCCTTTCTGAGGCTCAGATTTCCTCCTGTTTTTTTTTTTTTTTTCAGGACCGTTCTTGACAAAAGGACTGTCTGTGGGTTACTATCCGTGAAAGAAAGGTCAGACAAAATGAACATGTCCTTGGCTTCTTGAGGTACCAACAATAAGGTGACATCCTCATCTGGGACTTCAAATCTGCTGGCAACAATTTTCACATTCACAACATTCTTCCATTATACCACTTTCCCAAACTATGTTTTCAAATTCTTTACCTAACTCTAATGACAAACTATACTGGTCTGCCACTTAGAGGAAAAAATCAAACAAACAGGCTGCTATTTTCCATGGAGAACAAAGTCTGGCTGTCTATATAACCACTAACCTAAGTATCCCTTCCAGGAACTCAATTACCAGTACCATATGACCTTTGCTATTATTCACCAACTCTCAGTTACAAAATTCAAGTTGGGCACTCTTTCTCCCTGCCCCCAACACCTTCATGTCCCCTTAAAATTTATTGTATGTCTGTCCAGACCAGATTAACTTTTGTGCAAGAAGGTTTACTATCTCTTAAACTCCCAGTGATAGAATAAAGACAGGAAGAGTGCCAGGTCTGCTTTTTTCCTTTTCTTTTTTTTTTTTTAATGAGGCAATCAGGGTTAAGTGACTTGCCCAGGGTCACACAGCTAGTAGTGTTATGTGTCTGAGACTGGATTCAAACTCAGGTCCTCCTGACTCCAAGGCCAGGGCTCTATGCACTATGCCACCTAGCTGCCCCCAAGAGTGCTAGTTCTGATGCACTGCCGTGGCCAGAACCCCATCCTAGGAATCAGGAGTCCTTGTTTCTAATCCCAGCTCTGTTTCTAAATCGTTACGTAACTTTTGGTGGTCACTTATGCTCCTACCAAGTGGACAACCAGCTTCTGTTGAGAGATCTCCAGGTCAGACCATTACATTCTTGGACAACTTCAAATGTTAAGAAATTCTTCTTTATTTTGAAAACCAAGTCTACTTCCTTATAATGTTTACTTATTGTCTTAATTTTTCCCCTTTAAGCTAAGGAAGACTTTTTTATTAGTGGGGAAATGGATGAGTTCATCATATTTATGCATATCATAAGATTATATTTGAAGACAAAGATATCTTTCCAGTCCTCCTTCTCTAAGGCTTATTTCCAGCTACACATCCCCTTCCTACAGATCATCAATAAACTCTCCAGATTTTTACTCTTCCTTGTTGGTCTGATTAATATCAAATGCCTACAGATGAAAGACTTCTATGACATCATGCTATCAATCTTGAGGTTAAAGCAAGATTGTTATACTCACATTCACTAGCAGAGAGAAATCAGTAATTAGCTGGTTGAGTTCCATCAAATCCTAAACAGAAAAAAAATGGGTATTACCTTATTTTCATGAATTATAGTCAATAAGAAAGGAGAATGCTTCTTAACATACCGCTTCTAAAGTTTCCCAGGATTCTGCAGCATTTTGATCTTGAGGAATCTCAGGCAGGGATGAATCCATCTGGACCAGACTCTGGGGACCAGCTTCAGCTCTGGCAGTATGAAATGCTTCTGATTGAAAACATTACCACACGTACAAGCTTATTAACTTCATGAGAAAAAGTGGCAGTGTGGAATTAGTAACAACTTTTCTATAACTAATTCTAAAATATATTTATTGTGTAAAGTCATTAATATTATTAACTATCTCTACATTGGTTCAGATTTATTTTAAAATAATTATTTTCAAAGAATCTTATTGTTACAGATATTGTTATCTAGGTTTGCTATGAAAAGAAAATGTTATAAAACTCAATATCTAAAAATATCTAAAAGAAGACTGAATGACTGCTAACTGTCTGCACTCATCAGTCAGAGGTAGCTGTTGAGGAGGAACTATACTGAACTACAGTCTGTCCCCTTAGGGCCCAGGGAAAAAAGGAACCACTCGAGTAACTCAGTATTTAAAACACGTGTAAAACACAAGTTAAGTCACGTGTGGACATTTAACCTGGAGAAGAGACAATTCGGGGAGAGGGAAGGAATAACAGCAGTTTTCAAATCTCTGAAGCACTAACATATATAGAAATTAGCTTTGTTTTGTTTAGCTTTACTGGGCAGAACTAGGACCAATAAGTGTAAGTAAAAGGAAGGTAGATTTCAACTATACAGAAGGAAAAGCCTCAGAATGATTACAGCTATTCTGAAGTAGAATGAGCAGCCTAACTTCCCTATCTGTGGAGATCTTCACATGGAGGCTGGACAATCACTAATTGGGGATGTTGAAGAAGGGATTCATACTTAGGTACGGATTGTACTTGATGACTTATGAGGTCCCTTCTAACTCTCAGAATCTGATTCATGCCATGGCTTAAATAGGGCTTAAGAGGAAAAGTGCATTTAGAAACAGAAGCATTTATCATTTTCCACATTGCTTACTATGATTCCAACCATTTCTCTGGCTACTTTAGTAATACATATCTAGCCCACAAAGAGATTAAAATTTGAGAACTCCTACACAACGAGATTCAAATAAATTGCATCAGAAGACAATGAATCTAAAAATGGGAAAAGAACCCACATGTACAAAAATATTTATAGCAGCTCTTTTTGTGGTGGCCAAGAATTGGAAATTGAGAGAATGCCCATCAGTTGGGGAATGGCTGAACAAGTTGTGGTATATCAACGTAATGGAATACTATTGTGCCACAAGAAATGATGAGTAGGCAGACTTCAGCAAACCTGGAAAGACTTACATGAATTGATGCTGAGTGAAGTCAGCAGAACCAGGAGAACACTGCACACAACAACCTCAACATTGTACGATGACTAATTATGATAGATTTAGCTCTCCTCCTCACTGCAAGGATCTACTCCAAAAGACTCATAATGGAAAACACTATCCACATCCAAAAAAAAAACTATAGAGTTTGAATGCAGATTGAAGCATATTATTTGATCTCTTTTTTTCTTTTGTTTCTTTTTTCTCGTGGTTCCTCCCATTGGTTCTAATTCTTCTTTACAACATGACTAATGTGAAAAAATGTTTAACATGAATATATATCTACAGCCTATATCAGATAAGAGAGGAGGAGAAAATTTAAAACTCAAAATCTTATGGAAGTGAATGCTGAAAACTAAAAATAAATAAATAAATAAATATTGTTTTGTTTTGTTTTGTTTTTAAAAGAAGGCAATGAAACTCTTACCATATGCATCATTTATTAATGTGGGGACCTTTTAGTCACTGGGAGGACAGGGGGGTGGGATGTGTTATTGAGCTCTAGTTCAAGCCCAGACACATGTCCCACCCCTTTCCCTATCTATGTTCCTGGTTCTCCTGCAGAGACTTTTGTAGCACAGAATGCTGCCCACCATGATGTTGGCTGTGTAGTCAAAGTGAGCGTCCTTTGGGCAACAGCAAAGACTAGAGAAGCTGAACTCTGAAGCCTAGAGCCAGGATTTCCACAGCCTTGAAAACGGGGAGGAAAGACTGAGGTGTGGTTTGAGTTTTGTAGCTAAACCCTGAAGGTAGCATAGGGGTACTGACTCAGTTCATGGGTTTGTTTGACCTTTTTTTGGATTTCAGATGTCCTAAATCATGGAGACAGCTGAAGTTTCATTATCTTTCATTCACAATTCTGGTTTTGGAGAGATTTGAGAGGATCAGAGAAAACGTCTAGTCCTCCCCTCCACTTTGTTAATCATACGACAGAGAAGTTCAATTTATTGTTTTTTATAGCACAGTAATATTCTATTATATTCATGTGCCACAATTTGTATAGCCATTACCTAATAAATGGGCATCTACTTTGTTTCCAGTTCTTTGCTACCACAAAAAGTACTGCTGTAAATATTTTGATGAATATGGAGTCTTGATTTTTGTGAGTCGCCTCTCTGGGCTATATACCGAACAATGGAGTCTCTGGGACAAGGGCTGTGGATATTTTAGTCACTCTAATTACATAATTCCAAATTGCTTTTCAGAATGGTCTAATTCACAACTCCACCAATAATGTATTTGTGTGTTTACCTTTCCACACTGACTCCAACTCCTTCATTATTCCCATGTCTTGTCATCTCTACCAATTTGCTGGGTTTGAAGTTAAGTCTCAGGGTTGTTTTGATCTGTATTTCTCTTACTATTAATGATTCTAAGTATTCTTTCATATTATTATTAAAAGTTTTAATTTCTTGGAAAGTTGTTCATATCTTTTAATTACTTACCTATTAGGGAATGGCTTTTGGACATACATTTCTATTAGTTGTTTATATATCTTGAATACCAAATTCTTATCAGAGATATTTGATGTAAGTTTTTTTTCTCCTCAGCCCATCCCCCTTTGTTTCTTATGCAAAATGCACTAATTTTGTTATGCAAAAAGCTCTGAAATTTTCAAAATAATCTATTTGGTTAAGAATCTGTCCCCTGCCCATAGGTATGAAAGACATATATGATCAGCACATTCTCTTCTAATATGATCAGCAGATTCTCTTCTAATTTTTTTAATGGCATGATCTATAATATCCATATTATGAATGCCATTTTGGATTTATTGTGGAATAAGGTACAAAATGTTGGTATAAACTAATTTCTGCAGACTGCTTTCCAGTTTTCCCAACAGTTCTTATCATACAGGGAGTTCTTTCCTGGATAATTTATGTCTTTCAGTTGATCAAATGCTAAGGACCTCATATTTCTTAAGGGGGAAATATATTACAGAGACATAGAACTCTGTTTACCTTCAAAAATATGAATACGATTTTTTTTTCCTCTCAAGGAAAACTCTATTTGACAAGTGATCTCTAAGAACTGCTCAGGAAGGCTAGGATAACAATAATTTAGTATGATAAAAAGGGATAATCTAATGAAAGGGTAACTTGTAGGCTTGCCAGAATTACTTTTGAACCTTAAGTTTCTTGAATATGCTTTACTTGATTTTATGATTTAAATGGCAGAGTAAAACATTACTGACACAATTTAACTTTTGCATTCTATCATAGTATCAATGCCCTGGTATTTTAAGATCTCTAGCTGGTTTCATAACTGCTTAAAACAGCTAAGTTATAGTACAAAGAAATTTTCATTTTCACTTCAGTTCAATACAGAAATTACCCTGTAATTTCATTCCACTTAAAATTAATATAATATGAAACCCTGTCTGCAACTTCTTTAAAGAGTTCCATAATTTCTAAGAGGAGGACTTTACTATATATTTACTTTAACACTGTAAAAAAATATACACTGAGGTATTTATTTTGCTGCTACTCTAGACATTTTTTAAAAAACCTTTGCACCATTAAGACAGACAAAAATATATTAGATTCCAACAGGATATACAATAATAAGGAGATAGTAATCACATAAAATCATTCATTTTAAAATGCAGAGACAGGAAATGTTTGGCATTTTAAACAAGCACAAAACTTCTCTCAGTAATAATTTTAAAAACAACAAAAAACTTAAGCCATTTGCGTCTTGCTTAAAACCAAACTACGTATACATCTTAGTTCAAAAGGTAGCTTAGAACAAAGAGGCCCATTCTCTTTCACAAAAATGCTGTTGTGAACTTGAAACACTGAATCACTAATCAATGTAAGGCATGACTGGCAGACAAAACCCAGCCAATCCAATTTACTGTGATCTTCGTAATTCATATATTCCAAGTTATGTTATAAAACACCATCTCAGTGACTGGACCCAGTGACTGAATTTTTTTTAGACTGTTACGTAAATGATGAGGTAAAACACAGAGACAGATTACCACTGTAAGAAAAGAAGACTGAAGAATTCTTATCTCAATCACACAAGGTATAAACTTGCAATTGTTTTGTATGACTCGACATAGACTAAAGTTTCCTTACCCACACTGATTTTACAGATTATATGCTACTACAACTAGAAAAGATGAAGAGAATATGTAACACCTAACATTCTTTTTTAAATTCCAGAATTTATATTAAAGTTGCATTTCTTCTAACAAAAGTTAAGGCACAAATTATTATTCTAGACTACATACAAATATAGCCTACTTAATAACATTAATTAGCTCCATAAAAACATTAAAGGGGACACTTAGGAACTAAGTTATAAATGTGAAGTACATTCCTGGGTGGTCAAAATTTAGACCAAAAAAGTTTAAGTCTAAAAAAAATTGATAGCTGGTACATAATTTTTATAATGGTAATACGGACTCCCCTCTTTATATAAATTCCTCTTCCCCAGTTACTCAAGGTTTCTTATCTGATGGGTGGAGTGAAGAGCAGCTGCCCCATAAATGCCCCTCTAATTGTCTGGCAGATCTGGGAGTACTGGTTCCACAGTGAAGGATGGAGAGGTGGGGGAGAGGAAGAGAGGAAATATGGTATAAGGAAAGGTAGCTCTCTTGACCCTATGCTAGTCCCAGATAAAATGTCTTATCTTCCCTTTGTGGCCCATCGTACCCCTATATTCCTTCCCTCTGAGTACCCTAGGGCCTTCTGAGGAATATCTATTTCAGTTCAGTTGGGACAGACAATGAATAGCACAAAAGGCTGGGAAAGGGAGGCTTGCATGTAGATGTCCCTTGTGA